ATGCATAGAGTAGGAGATCTTAGATTAGCTGCAATAGTGACACTACTACAGAGATGACACTACAGATAACATAATATAGAATACTAGAATATATAGAATATAATGTAACTGACGTTATAGGTAGAGTTAGGTTATGATCACTTGCTGCCTCTTTACAGCTTCTTATTTACGGCACTCTCCTCCTCCTCCTTGTGCCTGGACCTCTTGTTATGCATCTCGCCCAAAGCAGTGGGAGCAGGTACTGGATTACTAATATCCCCAAGATCAGTCGCCAGCCAACTCAGTATGCTCTAGTAATGGCACCCTGGCTGGATGATGAGGGGAAGTCTATGATCGTATCAGAAAATAAACACTATTGAATACTTTACCATAGACAATTGGAAGGTGTCGGGCCTCGTGGAGAAATGTATATGCGTCAGTGCTGGGATTTGAACCACCGCGGAGTTTATATCACCAGAAGATGCCGCAATAATCCGACACTCGACTGACTTGAGCTGTGGCTTACTCTTATTGGTGAGTAGGGCTATAACCCTAGTTGCTAAAAGTCGTACCGTGCTCTGTTTCTCAGCAGCATCGAGTAGTTCCCACACCATGACCGCCGCAATCTCCTCATCCATCGTAGCGCCTCCCACCACTATAGCAGCCAATGAGATAAGGCCATAAGTACCCTCACCTACCTCCTTAACACTAACTCTGCTGTCCTTAACCAAGGGTAGTAGATAAGGTATTCTCATCATCATTACCATCACCCTCCTCCACTAACGTGGCTGCTGCTATTGTCAATCCCCATGCCGCTGTGTCGGCACATTGCTCTCGAACTACCACACCCCCTGACCAGTCGTTCTAACGTATATGAGTATCTAAAATGCTGGTATCAGCCTTTAATCCTCGAACTATGCTCAGGACCAATTCCTAACGGGTTCAGATCAGCGGACGTCTCATATCTTATGTAAAACTATATCGATCATGTGGGCGTACGCTATCGACATACGTCCCTTGCTTTTTCAAGTAACATCTTATAACCTGAGTGACGCGGCACAAAGCTTTCTCTGTTAACATCGACATGGAGGGCATTGACCTGCTCTATAGTATGTACACAAGAGCGCGATGTTAAGGAGTATTATAATATGTGTTAAACAGTGGACGGCATCGCTAACGTAGTAAATATAAGAACCAATATTAAAGTCGTTGGACGGCCTTCATGTTCGCTATATAATGTAATTCCTCTTATATAAAGATTTATGTATCTACTTAGCTACTCGAAGCTGTTATTAGGATATATACACGACATAAGGTGATAGGAATGTGTCCCCATCATGTTGAAGAAGCGTGGTATGCGGCAGCATGCGCAAGATGTGAGATTGATACCGGCCGTTCGATAATAATAGTCAAAATGCCATTCACCCCACACTTGAACGGTCGTCGTTGTACGTACATGCTTAGTGATATGTCTCGACATCCAAACAATAGCTATCGAGTTGAGTGTCTGTATGAAGGCTTATCGATGGATAGGTGTACAAGCCTGTCAGTGAGTGCCTCCTCTTGCTATTGGTAGTAGTAGTAGTATGAACTCCTACTTCGACATACTACGGGCAGGCACCGTCCTTGGTAAGAACAATAGGCCAGGTCGTCGGGACAATAGTAGAGGTCTCAAAGGAGCTAATCCTGGTACTGTGCAGAAGGTAGTACTATTGTAGGTGGTCTGGGTTCCAGGAGTATATTCAGGCGGATAGTATATTCCTTGGTGGGGGGAGCTCAGCATCTACATCATCCTCATCAATAGAGGTATTACTCAAGTGCGTGGCGTATGACGAATACTTTACCTCTGCAGCTACCACACCGGCGTCATCATCATCGTGGTAAGAAGAAGGGTAAGGGTAATGAGGCTGGTGAGGGAGAGGAGGTGGAGCAGCTGCTGCTGCATGAGGATAAGGCAGCTGATATAGAGCTCTTCAATAATGATGGAAACGACGAGAAGGAAGAGGATGAGGAAGAGAGAGATGGTGGTAATGTATGGTCATCATATTTCTTATGTGGGAGTGTAATAAGATACTAATGAGGAGGATGGTGTAGAGGATGATGCTGTTGATGATGATAAGGCACAGAGGAGTAGGAAGAAAACTGTTACTCCAGCACGACGATTGGAGATGGTAGTAGAGGGTTTATGCTGCTGCTAACCTATTCCGAACACGTCAGCAGCTCGGCATCTTTCTTGCTACATATCCACTTCACTTAAACATAAGGCAAGGTCTGTGCTTACCCAAATCTCCATCTACCTCAGGCAAACCATTTCCGTAAAGAGAACCGTATTGGAGTAAGCGGTACCTCCAACCCTCCCGACCCTATATTAACCTTCGACACCGATAGTGATGATGATAGAGTATCCAAGTGGTTAAAGGAAGCCATGACTAAGAGCGGGTAATAAGGATGGCTACCTTAGGATGACCAAGGTGCTACCCTTTAGATTCCCCAAGCCTACCCCTATCCAATCACAGGCTATCCCTCTAATGTTAACTGGTGACCATCTATTAGCACAGGCCCCTACTGGTAGTGGTAAAACCCTAGCCTTCATTGTGCCACTACTACAACGCTTAGCAAGACCTGAGAAAAAGTAGTTTATCTTGGTTCCTGTAGATGTAGCAGTATCTCTTTCATAGGTTCTGTAGAGGTATTATAGTAGATCCCACACGGGAACTAGCTGTCCAAACAGTGAGGGAGGCTGACAGATTGATACAAGCATGCACCAAGAAGTTCAGGATCAAGCTACTCGATAAGAATACTAATGTACTACTATCCATCGTCCTTGTAGTCTACACCTGAGTATACAGGTTAAGAGGCTTGATATCGGGGTACAGACACCTTTAGGCCTAGTACAGGCTCTGAGGGAGGGTAAAGTGGACTTCAATAATACTCAAGTTATTGTCTTCGATGAAGGTACTACTCCTATTGATTACAATATTGCCAATCTATTCATAGGTGATAAGTTGCTAGATCTGGGTTTCCAGGACCAAATTGACGAGATTATCAAGTATGCTAATGAGGAGGATGAACGTCGTAGGACTGCTGGTAATAGAAGTATTATGGTATGTTTCTGTAAGTACTCGTGATCATCAGGTAGTGCCCTTGGTACTATTCAACTATCACTATTCTCTGCTACTATGCCTGACAATGTAGTGCATCTTATGATGAGTGTTATGGATCCACCACCGAATAGGGTATGGGTCGGCCAACAAGGTTCGGCTGCTAAGGATGTATCAATACTCTATGCCTCATCAGGGCTTGTATCACATCATTGATAGGTACAACAACGCCTCCTGTTCTGTGGTAATGAGGAGGGCAAGCTAGTGGCCCTGCGTAGAATGATAGCCAACGGTGAAGTAAAGCCACCATGTCTAGCGTTCGTACAGAGCAAGGCTAGAGCACAGGAGCTCACTAAGGAATTGATGTTTGATGGTATCTGCTCGGTATGAATGCTGCATTCACTAGTAGAGTGGTGTGATCAGGTGTATTCGTTGCTTGTATTCACTCTGATATGAGTCGTAAACAGAGGGATACGTGTATAGAGAA